TGCTTATTTCAACAATAGTTTACTAATTGTTTTTGCTAATGCTTGTACAACCCTTATTTTGAACATTCAGTGATATATCAAATATAATTTTTGAATGCCTACTATATATCATTTCTGGTTTCTGGAGAAACTTCCTCAAGCAATAAAAGACCCCTGCTCTCAAGCAGTGCATGGTGGAAAGAGGGATAAAATAAAACAGTTAATTACTATGAAGAGCTAACTTTTTTTTACCTTCCTTTAAAGACTGGCAATTAAGTTCCTTCATAGTCTCTGTTTTACCTTTGCTTCTAGTGTCATCTTTTACTTCCCCCTATTCTCCTGACTCTTATTTTTAAAATTCTCTAGGTAACTCATAATTCCCTAAATATGACTTTACCTGTGCCTTCCTCTATTCTTTGGAAGACTGCCTTCTCAATGTCTCCACTTGGTAAAATCATATGCTTAAAAAAAAAAAAGTGCAGCTTCAAACTATCTCCATTGTCAATTCTACCATGAATACTTTCCCTTTTAGAAAGACTTGATTGTTTACTTTCTCCTCCTTTTACATCGTAACCAAACAATTTTATATCACTGACAGCGTGGTGTTGATGTTAAGCAGGTCGGTGTCTTCCACTCTAAAGTGTGGTTGAGCTCAGACTGGTACTTAATTATCCTCTGAAAATTCACCATTCATCACAGAGTAGGTAGTCAATTATATTTTTTGAATGAAATACCAGAAGAAACACATACATAAAGGTGTCCTCTGAGAATAATTTTAGACCAAGAAAGAGATACTGAAATAATTGAGTGACAAATTAATACCTTCTAAATTATTTGCATTGTAAAATATATGGTTTTGAAGAAAAAGCAGAATTCAGATTTTAGTTCTGATGCCTACTAGTGCATGATCTTGGGCAAGTTATTTTAGTTCTCTCAGTCTTTGTGTGTATAAAATGAAGGTACTATTTATTACATACTGCATATGAAATTTTAAAGGCTTAGTGAGAAAACATGTAATTAGTACAGTGTTTGGCAATAGTTGGCACTCAGAAATGTTGCTGTGCTTTTACTTTCTTTCCTGTGTATGCACCATTATCTGCTTCCTCTTCTTATTATATTTGTTTACTCTGCAGAAAAAAATAGTTTTATACAAATGAATAATTTCCATATTTTACTATAGTACAGGATGGACATGCACATTCTTTTATATCTTATGTAGCAAAGTAAAAATGACTGCTAGTTACATTTTAGCTGATATAGTAAATTCCAGATTTTAGCACTGAAATTCTCATGTCTCAAACAAACTGGGTGTTCAGTTCTCTTTTTCCTTGTGTACTCAGTGCAGCTAGTTGAGGAATTGGAGACAGATAGCAGGATACTGAAGACTTTTTTCCACCTTGGGCAAGTAAACTCAGTTATCTTCTCACTTCCTCGGTCTCCCCATTTGTATGCTGTATATTCCCCATTTGTATATTGCATATTATAAATAACATACATAATAATAGGAGGTGAATTAATACCTCCTTCATTGCCTGAAGTATAAGATTAAATGAGATGTTTTAAAATACAGAGAATAGTGCCTGATTCTAAATATTAAATCACCCAATAACAGCTTAAAGAATTAATGGATAAATGGGTATGTTACATCTTACTTTGATGAATTCTAAGCTAAAAAGTGGCTTTCAGAGTTAAAAAGGTTCATTACTAAAAATGACTAAGGTCAATATATTTAGGAGCTTTTAAAAAATAATATATTTTTGTTGATCCCAAAGAGGAAAAGAGAGGGAGAGAGAGACAGAACCATCAATGATGAGAGAGAATCACTGACTGGCTGCCTCCTACACTCCCCAGTTCAAGCCCCTAACCTGGGGCATATGCCCCTACTGGGAATCAAACTGTGACCTCCTCGTTCATAGGTTGATGTTCAGCCACTAAGCTGTGCTGGCCAGGCCATTGGGAGCTTTTTTTGATGATCATAAAGGTCATTTTAAATCCTATACACCTGAAATTGACAGGTTTGAAATTATTTTAATGTATAAGATGTTTTTTTCTTAGAGTAAAATAATCAAAATGCTATTTTATTATTATAAATAACATACTATAATACATAGTTTTTAAGGAAGTAGGTTCTTACTTTATCTAACAAGCTATGCTGTGTCTTCTGTACTCTATGTACAGATTTGTACCTGTAACAACAGGTTTTAGGATAAATCTGGAACTGATTTTAACTGGAGAGCTATTCCAAACCCCTAAATCTATATAACTATATTGATTTGATTCTCATAACTTCTTTATTTGGCTTTTTTTTTTTTAAACTTAAAGGTTATTCAAATGTCCTTGGAGAAATGCTGAAGAATAAATTATTTTATTTGGTGATAAAACAGCTTAGCAGAAGTTAGGAGGAGTGATTTGCATTATGAAAATACGAGTCTTTCTTAGATTTGTTCTAGAGTGACTAGCAGGTGTGAGGCTACAGAAACCAAACATGCTTTTCCTGCCAGGCCCAGAGAGCAGGAGCATGCCACTGTTTTCGTTACTCCACTGACAGTCAGTGCTGTCTCTCTTCTTACTGAAACCACCATCTGGGCAAAAGATTTCTTCTTAATTAGAAGTGTCTCACTGACAAAGAAAGTCATTGCCAAGGATGCCTGATGTTGGAATGTGTCTTCACTATAAGACACTGATCATATTGCAAAATTTTAATAACACATGCATTTTTAAAAATGGTTTTCTTGATTTTGTGCTACATCCATATTTATAAAAGTAATATGATGATGATAAAATTAAAAACATTTTGAAATTATTTGATTTGTGACTTTCTGCTTTCCAATTATTATGAAAGATGTAACTGATTATATAATAATTAATAGTTTAATTATCATTATGTGGCAATGAACAAAACACATTAGCGAATTGTCATGACTTGAAAAACTATCTAAAGTCTAAGTTCAAAACCAAATTAAACTCATGTCAAATAATTTTATGCTGTCTTTGTTCTTGATTTCTTCCTGTAAAAACATTTTGTGTAGATAATTTTTTTTTAATCCTCACCCGAGGATATTTTTTCCATTGCTTTTCAGAGAGAGTGGAAGGGTGGGTGAAAGTGGAGGGGGGGGGGGAGAGAGAGAGAGAGAGAGAGAGAGAGAGAGAGAGAGAGAGAGAGAGAGAGAGAAGAGACATAGGTTGGTTGCTTTCCAACATGAGCCCTGACCAGGGACAGGGAGCTAACTTGTAACCCAGGTATGTGCCCTCTTGACTGGAAATTGAACCTGAGACCACTCAGTGCTTGGGCTGATGCTCTAACCACTGTGAACACCGGCCAGGACAGATAATTTAAAAATAAATGCCATGTTTAAATCAGTACAGATGCAATAGTAACTGACTTTAAAAACAAGTTCTTCAATGTCCTATGCACTGTTGTGCTAACTCATTTGGTCTTCATACCAACCGCTGTGCTGAGTATAATTACTAGTTCAGTTTAACAGATAAGATTACCAATGTACTGAGAGTTCAGACAACTTGTCCAGTCACACAATGAGCAATTGGCAGAGTTTGGGCTTGAAGCAAGATGATCCGGCTCCTGAGTCTGAATGCTTGACCACATCTTGTTATTCCCCAAAATAGGTCTCCATCAGTAATCTGGAGAACATAAAGTTTCATCCTAAATCTCAGTGCCTCATATAAAAACACATCATGAAAAAGCACTGTGTTGCTCCCAAATTTGTTTTGTCCTTGAGAAGTTCTAGGCTTTTAATACTGTATTCTCCCCCCTGCCCTTCAGAGCCCTATAGTATTCTGCATAAACAGGAAATATGTAACAAGGAAATTTGCTGAAAACCTTTAGATTTTGTTCCCTTATGTCCCAACATCAGCTTATAATAATCGCATTAAATTTCCTTTACCAGTTCATATTTCAATTGTAAAAGGCATATATGAGAACATTTAGGAGTAGCATTTGATATGTTTCTGCAAATCCCGTGGGAAAGACATTAGGAAAAGTATTAATGTACCCTGAATGTTTTTTAAAATTGATTTTTAGAGAAGAGAGGAAGGAAGAGAAAGAAACATTGATTTGTGTATTCATTGGTTGATTCTTGTATGTACCCTAACTGGGTTTGAACCTACAACCTTGCAGTCTCAGGACATGGCTCTAACCAACTGAGCTACCTGACCAAGGACCACACATTCCTGAATGTTTTAGAAAAGAGTTCTAAAGCTTTAGGGAAAGAGTAAATGTATCAGATTTTCTAGAAAGAAGTGTTTCAAATGCTCTGCACTACTTCTGGCTTCAAAAGTGTTTATGGTTGTAGAAATGATCAAATATTTAGCTTTTATAGCTTTTTGTAACATTCACTGATCAAAAGAAAATTTAAAAATAAAAAACCTCTAAACAGGATATATTGAATGTATATTAACTACATAGATGTGTATGGTGAGATACTTTTATGAAGAAAACATTTGTTAAGTGAGTCATATATATGATATCAATTAAAAGAGTCATATATCTGATGTAAATTAAAATGCTTATCACTTTCCTTTTTTTTTCCTTCCATGAAAATGTTATTTTTTTCCCCTGCAACTCTTATAAGAAGTATAATTTTTTTTTTTTGGATGGAAAGTTGATTGATTGGTGGGTGTAAGGTGGGGGCAGCACAGAGACTTATAAGTGCAGGGCTCGCTATCTGTCCAGGGGACCACGATTAGGGAAGTATTTGACCCACTGCCATCTGGGATAAGGCGCTTCTCGGCCACCATGTCTTCAAACTCATCCTCATTAAATTTAGTAAAGCCCTACTTCTTCTAGATGTGGATCTTCTGGTGGCCAGGGAACTTGCACTTGGCTCTGAGTAGGGCCTCAATCACATGCTCCTTGTTCTGCAGCTTGGTGCGGATGGACAGGATGACTTGGCCAATGTGGATTCTAGCCACTGTGCCTTGGGCTTTCTAAAGGCACCCTGCACACCATTTTGGAGCCTAGTTTGAGGGTAGCATGAGTTCAGACATGAGTGTCCATCAGAAAGGGCTGAATCCAAGGTTCCTTAAGGAACACTAGCAACAGGTTGCGTACACTACCAAGGATGCTGCTGTTTACAGCCGTTGTACATAAGGCCTCATGAAGAGGTATCATTTTTATTTTTTAATCCAATTTTGCTAAATACACCCCTGTAAGACCTCTGTGAACAGAACTCTGAGAAGACAACATTGTCCCACAGGGCGACTTCCACTGTGCTTTGTTCTACAAAGTAAAAGAAGGAACGCTGAGATGAAACTTTTGTAACAGGGTTGGTCTATCCCAGTGGTTGGCAAACTGTGGCTTGTGAGCCACATGCGGCTCTTTGGCCCCTTGAGTGTGGCTCTTCCAAAAAATACCACGTGTGGGCGTGCACATACAGTGCGATTGAAACTTTGTGGCCCATGCGCAAAAGTCGGTTTTGGATCTCAAAAGAAATTTCAGTTATTGTACTGTTGATATTTGGCTCTGTTGACTAATGAGTTTGCCGACCACTGGTCTATCCCCACCTTACCTATGTTCTTAAGTGGCCCAGCAGCTCACCAGGGCATGCACGCTGCCCTGTGGGAATCAGGGGGGCTCTCCGAAGAGGAAGAAGCATTTGAGCAGATAGTTCTTGTCATGTTTCCAACTAAAGCCAAAACAATAACACAGTTATCCCTGCCAGCAAAAGATTAAACGCTGATTCACATGGAGGCTCAGCTAATTCAGCAAGCTGTGTACAGTTTTTTTTGGAATATTTCTTTGTGAGAAAAAAATTATTGAATGATAGTTTCTTTGACTAGGATCAAAATGGGTGTCACAATTCATAATAATAATGCAAGAGTATCTCGGATAGATATGTTCTCAACTGAGAATTTGAGCAGTCATATATATAAAATCCAGATTGTTAAGATTTAAACTTATTCAAATGATAGTAAGATAAAAGAAGCACTTGTACTAGTAAGAAAAGCAGAGCTAAGGCCAAAGGTTAACCTATTTAAAGAATCTGAAAATAGAGAGGTGAAAAGAACTAGGAAAAACTGGGAGATTACTCAAAGGCTCTTTTAAGATTTTTCATGTCTTTTTGGCAGAAAAAAAATTCTCTTTGTAAATGTTCAAGACCTTGCTATCAAATGCATCCTGCAGCTCTGTATGTTTTTCTTTTTAATGCACTGCCAGGCTTACATAAAGATGCTGCTGCTCACTATGTCAGTTAAATATAATTTTATATGTAGAACATTGACTTTTTTAAGAACCCGAGATGATTCTCCACTTATAGATTTCAGGGTTCCAGAAACCTGAAATTCTACACAAACATTTAGAAAGGAGTCATATGATAATAAGATAGAAGCATTTATGTTAGTAAGAAGGCATAGCTAAGGCCAAAGGCCAAACCTGCTTTAAAAATCTGATACTAGAGAAATAAAATGAACTAGTAAATACTGGGAGATTAAACAAAGGCTCTTTTAAGATTTTCATGTCCTTTTTTCTTGGGGAAAGATAGTTTGTTATTTTAGGCTAATAAAGAAAGCATAATCCATAAGGAATCTGAGTTCATGACCCGGGCTTCAACATCAGGACCACAGGAATTCTTAACTCATAAAACCCTGCATTAAAGTTTTTATAAATGGAATTGAGGGTTCAAATTATACCTTCAGTTTTGTAGATATTCCCATCCTGACTTTTCTTATTCCAAATGGTATTTTCATGTTGTCTTAAGAAAATAATTTTATTTTCTAACCTTCTGTGTATGTCTCCTCAAGTAAGCCAAGAACCAAAAGATGATCTACATGCTTTTTGGAACTCACTGAGTGCAAAATTGACTGGACATGACCTGACCAGCCTCTCTCGTGCTGGTTTTGGAAGCTATCCATATATCCCCAAACACGTCCTTAAGTGAGTGCCTAGCCTATAACTAACAGTGTTGCAAATATTTTAAAGGGATTGCTTATGACGGTATGACTAAGTACACTCATTCATGTCCCCTTCCTTTTGCTTCTGTTGGCTAGTGTGTTCTCTTATTGTATTATCAGTGACTCTTCTCTAGCCTCTCTTGAGTCCTGAATAGAATAATGTTGGTCTTCTGCCCAGACCTGCCCCAGATCCCCAATCTAGTTTTCTAATCATTGTGGTTCTCCAGGGTTTCCTACTGCAGTCTGCAGCTGCTCAAACTGCAAAAGGGGAGCTCTCTAGGGGAGAACTGGCCAGTGGGTACAAGGGACCTATTGGGGCTTGAAATCACACAAATAACAAGAAATAAAGAAGCCAGGAGTGAGGAATCCAGACGAAGGCTTTTCTTTTTACCACAATTTACATTTGAATCATTTATTCAGGATTTTACATTGCAAATTTAATCCAGTCTTCCTTTTGGTTTAATTAGGCACACACAGACTCACACATCCACATATACCTCATTCAGAGTAATAGGCAACATTCTCAACTGCAGAAATGTGTAAAATACACACCTTCTCCCTGAAGATCTCTTTCTAAAAACAGTAAACCATTGTTTCTTATATGGTATGCATATTTGTTACAACAATATATTGTTAAATATAAAATAGGTAAGTTGTCATAAATATTGCAAAAACATGAAAAGAATAACCATCCTCAGGAGAACTGTGGTCAACAGAAACTGTCTTGTCAAAAGTGTTTAATTTTGAAATGTCAAATTGTGAACCTAAAACAAAGATACTGACTTTTTTTTTTTTTAGAATGCCTGAACATATGAAGAAATAAAATGGTTTGCTTCAATTTTTCTGTACTGCAGTTTGATTGTATTTAAAAGGTATATACTTTTCCACTGATTTCCCTTGACATATTGAGTTCATGCCAATTTTCCTTAACTCGTTGAACATTCCTCCAAAGTCTGCCACCTAGTCTTCTATATTTCTGTTACTGCTTTTCTGCAGTCCTCTATATGCATCAAAACCTGATAATATCATGTTCACTAGATCCTAGGTTCTCAGCAGTTTTAACCCTATTTGTCATTCCTGGCTTATTTCTAACATTTAAAATGTATGTCTTATGAATGAAAATTTTATTTGCCTTGAGAATAAGGAGTGCAACATTTGCTCTGACTCCGTATAGACAGGATTTCACATGAACTATAAAAAGAAGACTCTGATAATGATTGTTAATGGACATTGAAGACATTTTATTATTGGCTCAACATTGTAAGTCCTTTGCTATAGATATGATCTAAGATGGATCTGTTAGTGGTTTATAGACAACTGAATTATGAATTCATTTCCTAACATTGCTAGTCAGGGGAAAGTTATAAGGATATTAAAATGTCTGGCTATTGGAGTTCAAGGTTCATCCAAATCTCTTTCCAAAGGGTAAAGAATTAAATAATATTAAACTTCATTATTAATTATGAAATCTCATTTTTGAATCCCATGTGTTCATATTTCTGCTGCTATTTCATTCAGAGTAGACAGAGGAGAATCATGGCTTTGCCAAGGCAGTAAGAGGCAGGGAAAAAAGATGAAATCAACTATTTATTCCATCTTTGCCATTCACTTTGAACTTAACACATGCCATGCAACAAAAAGCAGCTCAGGTAAAAATGTCAAAGGAGGTGTTACATACTCTATTGTACTGTATGTAAAGCACAGGCAGGAAGCCGAGATGGGGCTTTTGAAGAACAGTCCTTCCATAACTGAGAGCTTTTAAGATTAACCACAAAGGAAATTGTAGGAAGATCTTCAACACTGATTTTCCTTTTTTTCAGAATTAATCCATTTCTAAATCCTACATGTCATTGTTTTTATTGTTTTCTCTTTCACACCTTCAATTATAGTCAACAAAGCTTGTTAGTTTAGGTATATGTTTCAGTTTGGCCTAGAATCTATGTATATAGACTTCATTAATAAAAAATATTATTTTTCCAGACTCCTACAAATGACAGAAAAAAATGACAGAAAAATTCAAGCTAATTTTGTTGATCCAAATTGTATTCAACCTAGGATAGTATTTTCTAAGCAATTGTCAGATAATAAATACTCTTTGATATTTTATAAATAAGTTTAGTTTTTGAGACAGTAATGTTTGGATCTGATGTAAATTTAAGATATCATATGATGTCAGATATTTATTGTAAAGTGACAGAGAAAAATCAATGAAATTTCCATTATTACTCCATTATTTTCATTGCATAATTTTATTTCTCATGAAATAAAATTTATTATTCTGCTTTCATTTATGTATGCTAAGCATGTGGAACCCTCTATAATATAAAAGATTATGATAGAGGCAGAGTCTGCCATGAGGTGAGCTACTAGTCAAAGATTGTGTGTAGAATGAATAGTCAATGGCATATTAAAATGTTCTATCCCACTTCTGAGAATGGTTAGATTATAGAATTAAATTAAAAAAACTAGATATAGTAAAGAGCGCAAGCTTAGAGTATATGCCTGATAATATATTTAGAATAGCCATATTCATTCTTCTCAAGGAGTAGAATTTGACTTTAATAGGGAGGAATATAGTAGGAAAGACTTTGATAGTAAAAATCCTAATTTCAGTTATGCCATTTTAATTTCTCCTTCATTTCCCCATCTCCTTCTTTTTCTTGTCTTCTCCCCTCTCTTCCAACCTTTGCTCTCCCTTTTTCTTCTCTCCTGTAATTTTCTTACTTCATTAGGTGACTACTATATGAAAGACATTGAATTAAATATATGAATACTAGAGGCCCGGTGCACGAAAATTTATGCATTGGAGGGGGTTCCCTCAGCCTGGCCTGCCCCCTCTCACAGTCCAGGAGCCCTCAGGAGCGGGAAGTGACCCGGTGATCAGGGAAAGGTGATGCCCCATCACATCTCTGCTGCTGCCACTGCTGGCAGTGCAAGCCTCGGCCGGCCCTGGTTATCTGAGCCTCAGGCAGCCTTTGGTGGCTGGGCAGCTGCCATCCAAGGCTTGCCTGCTCCTTGGGCCAGCCCTGGGGCGGTGAGAGGACTGGGCAGCACCATCTTGTGGCTGTGGGTGCCGCCATCATTGTGAAGATGTGATGGTCAATTAGCTCTCCTTATTAGATAGGTACTTGCTATTCAACTGTCAGCCAATTATATCCTGGTGTTTTTCTTGATTTGAAACTAAGAATAATAAGCCTTTATACCAGGTCTTTCTAGTCCCTAGGTATCCACACTAGGTTA